CCTTAACCTTGAATGCCTTGGACTCATGGAACTCTCATGGAACTCCTTATGAAGCTCTAGGACCCTCGGTAATGGCCGACGAAAAGCTCGTGCGCCGCGCACACCACTTCTTCATGCGACTTTCTCTTGGTGCACAGATCCATCGTCCCTTCGTCGGCTTGGTCATGAAGATTCGGGGTGGGAACAAGTTTTGATGACGGCGTGCCGCGTTGTACCACTTTGGTACCACTACTCCCAACTCCTCCTTAACCTTGAATGCCTTGGACTCATGGAACTCTCATGGAACTCCTTCTGAAGCTCTAGGACCCTCAGTAATGGCCGACGAAAAGTCGTGTAGTGATTTACATTACTTATGGAAATGAGTCGACGGTCCAACGATGATTGTGCAAAGGGCGGCGCGAGACGGAGAACAAAAGTGCGTCGCTGATGATGCCCATAGTACTTCCTGGATACTCGAACCTCCGAGGAACCAAGAATTTTAAACCAATCGATCATTCAAAATAGCCGCCGTAGGACAACTCAAGAGCATCTGTCATCCAGTGCGGCCCATTCCAGAATTCGTTCAAAGACGGCGACTCGGACATCCGACAAAATTCAAATTGTGACCTCCTGGTATTTCGAGTCAAGTTTGTTGGCGAATAACTTCACATCGTCGTCGTCGTTTGACATTGAGGAACGACTTGGACGCGGACACCGGGTGGTGGCTGATGTGAACGAGACTGTTGATTGGTATAACAATGATTGGTAGATTTCGGACTTGGAGTGTTGGGGGGGAGAAGGTTTCTGTTGAATGTATCTAGATTTCATCTGGTATATCTTATGTTACACCAGGCTCTCACTGTAGATTTCTTTCATTCACCGTCTCTCTACTCTCAAGCCTGATTGGAATGACTGGCTCACATCTCCCAGAAGCATTAATGTGGTAGTGGTAACCTGGGTCATTGCCATGTTTCGTCTAGTTATTCGCAGATGTCGTCTCGACCCGCCGGGAGTTCGATTCTCTCTTAATGCATGGGTAATGCATTGCAGAAAATTTACATGTGTTTTGCCTTGCTCAGGCTGACCTGCGGGAGTCTGTGGCGACAACTGTATCTGGAACAAACAAATTCGGATACCTACGTAGTGCAAGTTCTGGTTGGACGACGCCTCTGATTAATTCAGGACTCGGCCTCGATGTCGTATCTTCATTGAAAAATCTCCGGGGGGGTCCATTGATGCCCCGCTCCTCAAATCGAGCCAGGCGTCACCGATATCCATGCGTGGTGAATGATTAATATGCGAGTCCTTTATTATTTCGTCTGCTTTTACTTACTTTACTTACTGTACATATATAATTCATTCTTGATGTCATGTTTCATTTTATTTCTTACTCATTGTATTATTAACTATGTTGCGCCACTTGTACACCAC